GGGGGGGGGGGGGGGGGAGAACTGCTGACCCGGACAGGGGATATCGTCGGGCGGTGGAAAGAGCACTTTGAGGAACTCCTAAATCCGACCAACATGTCCTCTGCAGAGGAGGCAGCGCCTGAAGATCTAGGGGGAGGCTCACCCATATCCCTGGCAGAGGCCGCTGAGGTAGTCAAAAAGGTGGCAAGGCGCCAGGGTGGATGAGATCCGCCCTGAGATGCTGAAAGCGCTGGACATAGTTGGGCTGTCCTGGCTGACACGCCTCTTCAATGTCGCATGGGGGTCGGGATCAGTGCCCATGGACTGGCAGACCAGGGTGGTGGTTCCCATTTTCAAAACGGGGGACCGGAGAGTGTGCTCGAATTACCGGGGTATCACACTACTCAGCCTCCCGGGAAGGCTTATGCCAGGGTGCTGGAAAGGAGGCTCCGACCGTTTGTCGAACCTCAGATTCAAGAGGAGCAATGCGGATTCCGTCCTGGCCGTGGAACAGTGGACCAGCTCTTCACCCTCGCAAGACTACTGGAGGGGTTCTGGGAGTTTGCCCAACTAGTCTACATGTGCTTTGTGGACTTGGAGAAGGCTTTCGACCGGGTCCCTCGGGGGTTCTTGTGGGGGGTGCTGCGGGAGTATGGGGTGCCGGACCCATTACAACGGGCGATCCGGTCTCTGTACGACTGCAGTAGGACCTGTGTCCGCATTCTCGGCAATAAGTCAGACACGTTCCCGGTGGGTGTTGGCCTCCGCCAGGGCTGCCCTTTGTCTCCGGTCCCGTTCGTGACTTTCATGGACAGGATATCTTGGCGCAGCCGGGGGGTGCAGAACGTCAGGTTCGGGGGTCTCGGGATCGCCTCTCTGCTGTTTGCAGATGATGTGGTCCTGTTAGCCTCCTCGGATCGTGACCTCCAGCATTCACTGGGGCGGTTTGCAGCCGAGTGTGAAGCGGCGGGGATGAGAGTTAGCACCTCCAAATCTGAGGCCATGGTTCTCTGCCGGAAACCGGTGGATTGCTCCCTCCAGGTGGGGACGGAGTGCCTACCTCAAGCGAAGGAGTTCAAGTATCTCGGGGTCTTGTTCACGAGTGAGGGTAAGATGGAGCGGGAGATCGACAGACAGATCGGTGCAGCTGCAGCAGTAAAGCAGGCGCTGCACCGGACCGTCTTGGTGAAGGGGGAGCTGAGCCGGAAGGCAAAGCTCTCAATTTACCACTCGGTCTACGTTCCTACCCTCACCTATGGTCACGAACTCTGGGTCATGACCGAAAGGACAAGGTCGCGGCTACAAGCGGCCGAAATGAGTTTCCTCCGTAGGGTGGCCGGGCTCAGCCTTAGAGATAGGGTAAGGAGCTCGGTCATCAGGAGGGAGCTTGGAGTTGAGCTGCTACTCCTTCGCGTCGAAAGGAGTCAGCTGAGGTGGTTCGGGCATCTAATTAGGATGCCTCCTGGACGCCTCCCACTGGAGGTTTTCCAGGCACGTCCAACTGGGAAGAGACCCCGGGGAAGACCCAGAACATGCTGGAGGGATTACATCTCCCAGCTGGCCTGGGAGCCTCGGGATCCCCCAGAATGAGCTGGAACATGTTGCCGGTGAGAGGGAGGTCTGGGTCAGCCTGCTTGGCCTGTTGCCACCGCGACCCGACCCCGGATAAGCGGAGGAAAATGGATGGATGGATGGATGGAATATAAATAAAATACAGTACATTTCGTGAGCAATTATGAGCCATGAGGTCAAAGACACAGTGTGGGTTTTCTAGGTCTCTGCATCAATATCTTACCACATAGGCAGATAATGGTTCTGCACATGAAAAGATCTATGATTCATATTGTGTTACACAATGGGAACAGGATTTGTTTCATACATTAAACACATTTCCTGATGGCTACCCACCAGGCCTTACAAACCCACTATTTGAAGTGCATGATCGAGCCACTTGTGAATAAAGCGAATATACTGCCGTTCTGAGGGCTCCTCTCATTAAAATGGTGCTTAATAACAAGCGATAAAAAAAACAAAGTTGGTCTTTAATAGCCCCTTATTGTTTTGCTTGTACACACTTGCGCTGAGAGCGTCAAGTATTGAGACACATTCAGACCCTCTTAGCATCAAGCACCCATGTTAACAACGGCCACGACAGCTGCGGATGTGAGATGTACGACTGATTTCAGATGCAACTGTATGTTTCACACTGCAAGCGGACACTTGCACAGCGAACCCAACATACAGTCATTTTAGTGACAGTACAGAGGAGTTTAGCTTGATAAAGCATTTTCTTTTTAATCTATTTTAACCATCAAACCATGAAAGTTGTGATGAGGCTTTTAGAATTATGCCTCAATGTTTTCACACCAAAAAAAAAAAAAAAAAGAAAAGGATCTGCTCCATTTAAACGGTTTCTTTTCCACCAATGTTACCTTCCCTGTCATCCAAATCCAACCATTTGTTGAATTGTGCTGTTGGAAAGAGACACAGATCATTGCTGTTTACATTAAACAATGTCCTCTTTCAATATTGGCAGCTCAGAAAACGCTTCCAGCAACAAAACATTTGGGAAAACAAACCAGTCTCTATGAATGATTGCACTGCAGTTTACCAAATCCTATTTTCACCCAGATTGTTTTTTTACCTTTCTTTAAATCAATACAAATATAAGAATAAAAACAGAAAGGAAACACAGATTTGGTTTTCAAATTAAACAATGAAATAATAACTTACAATATAGGTCTGAGGGGGATCCCAGTGAACCCAGTCGTAGATAATAGACTTCTCATCCCTGTACACATATTTTGCCCAGGGAGAGATGCGGTACAGCCGGTCACCCTCCTTGGTGTGAACTACCACCTAGAAAAAAAAAAGACAATAAAATGAGTGTTATGTTATAGCAAGGGCTATTAAACAATGGCATCGAGAGGGGACACGCATGGTATTCAAACTAAACTAGAATGGAAAACAGTGATGCAAAAGTGAAAACATCATTGCAAAGAAAATAATTAGCCAGAAATAAAACTCTTTAAGTTTAAGAGGCCTGGCCACAAATCAATGGAGGCTTCAGGGTCTTCTGTGACTCTTGTGTGTTCCTGTCTTTGGATGTATACAACTTTAAACATCAGCATTTATTTACATCTTCCAGCCACGAAATGCTTACATCATAAAACTGTGCTGTTACTTCCCATCCATTAGACATAACGGATGGTGCAGATTGTTAATACCAACCAATAAACCAAACATTTTTCAACATGTCAACATGAAAACCACCCCTCTTCCAGGAAGCAGCTCCCTGCTCTCCAAAAAAAGAAAGAAATACAAAATAAATCACAGCTTTAAAACCTGTTATACTTTGCTCCCAGAGACACAATACATAAGCTACAGTATTGAACAGAGAGGTTGTTGTGGTGAATCTGGATTCAATGGTAATTATCCTGTGTTGTTTTTCCCTTTCTTAGTATTAACGCAGCCACTCGCTGGCCCATATTGAGAGGGGATTCAAGCCAGGGAGCAATTTAGAAAAATAGGAAATCTAAATCATTATCCTTCGCCTCTCATCTATTATGTTTGCAATTTAGGACTGGAAGGGGATCAAATAAGTATAGTTTGGAAATCTGACTGAAAAAAGTTGCTTTGCCTCCATCGGTCAAAAAGCAAAGGAGAAAGCCAGCGTGAGAGTTGGAAATACCCAACAAGAAATCGATCCTGTAGTGTTACCCGCAGTATGTGTTCGCCCTGTTTTGTCCCCTGCAGAAACCGGCATTAGAACCCAACTAATTCTGGCTACTGTTGTGAAGTAATGACTGTTCCAAAGCCACCTGCCAGCAAGCCATTGGCCAGACCCCCCTCTGGGGTTTTTTCATTATGGCCAGGCCACCTAGGGGTTAGCTGCCTGGCTCCCCTTATGACATGCTTCACAGTTTATAGGATTAGGAAAAGATAGTTGGATAAATGGACTGGCATAAAGCCTGAGAGAGCGGTGGTCCTTCAGACAAATTGGCCAGCATTAGGAATATTAAAGAAAAATCAGACTGCTGGGTGAGGGGGGGGGTGCATGAAAAGGAAAAACAACTAAGAGCCAGGCAATATGTGAGAAGTTAGGTGTGGATTCAAAACGTTTTTTTAAAAGTGGGCGTTTGATCACTTTGATAACACCTCCGCCCACTTCTCTAAAGTCTTGCATACTCTCAACATAAAGAGCTCATTGTAAGTACTGTACCCACAAAAGGAAACTGCAACAAGGGGGGAGAGCAGGGCAAGCTGCTCTACATGAGAGTGATTGGAGCTAGGCTTGTGCTTCCACGAGGGAGTGCTGTGGAACTAATTCTGAAGTGGAGCTCGCAGCAAGACAGCCATTCATAGGCAGCGGGGGTGCACAAGGAAAGGCCAGGTGCCAGCTTTTCCATCTGCTTCTTATCGTCCTTAGACTGACCTCCGCTGACAATGGGAGCTTTGCAGCCTGTCCAGGGCGCAGGAGTGCGTGCCAGCGGCGACCCGGTCCCAAGGAGAGTGGCGCCACGGTGCCGTCCGTCCCGCGCCTGGCATCTCATTTCAGAATTATTTCTCATCCACGCCATTTGCTTGGGAGACAATGCAGAATGGGCGCTGTGTCTTTTGCATTTAACCCTGATGAATTATTTACTAAACCTAAAAAAAAAAACAAAAAAAAAAAAAAAAAAAACTATCATGTAGAGGTTTTTTTTGCACAGACAAACACTGCGGGATACCTGACGCAGACGGGAGCTGAAATAAAAGCCATCAGCTGGGCTCCTCAGGTGTATCTACCCTCCACTGTGCCGATTGTGCACATACAGTAATCTCCCTCCTGCGTGCTGAGAGTATGACATGTTGTTGACAGCGACACGCCAGGTTTTCACTCGGTCAGTAAGACACCACACATGACAGGGAATCTCCCTCGCACATTACAGTGACATGTCCCTGTACCGGGGAAAGATGACACCTACTGAGGGCGCGAAAACAGGCATGAAGACGTTCTGTTCTCTACCTTGAGTTTGGTGTTATGCTCCACAGCTGGTGTCCCGTCATGCTTGGGCGGTAGAGTCAGTTCCCACTTGCCAAACTCTTTCTTGGTGTAGCGGTGGGAGAATTTGTCCCAGCCATCTATAGGGGAACACGGCAAGGATTCAATCACGTCAATTTAATTGGTTTACAACAGAGCCAGACATCATTCTGATTAGCTGTGTAATGATCAAAGAAAAGCCATATGATCACAGATGCCCAAGTCAGTGCGTGAATCTCTCTCGGTATGAAGCGATCACAATATCTCTCCCTCACTCTCTCATTATGCATAATTCTGTCTCATTGTTTTCATACTCTGCACTGCTGTGAGAAAAAGCAGCAGGCTCAGTCGCCGAAAAAGAAAAACTGATACAATACCACTTCACTGCTCATTGAATTATATCTCTGAGAAAACGACAAAGAGGTGTTACATTCATAACCTGCTGATACCACATTACCAATTGTCATTGACTGACAGGAATATATCAGGACACAAAGCAGCCACCTTGGCATGTCAATTTAGGATGTCGTTTTTATTCAGTAATCCACATCCGCTTGCTATTCATGAGCAGAAACAACTGCAGGATGGGAAATGAATCACAGGAGATGCTCCAGAAGTGACCGGGCACAACACCAGCACTTTTCACTGGCAGGGCGGGCCAAGTCATATTTTTTCACAATTTATTTATCTCCCTTTGCTTAATCTGCTCTTAAAAAAAAAAAAAAAAAAAAAAAAAAAAAAGAGTGCATTATGCATCCAACCTGCACCATATTCATGACTGGGGCTGCTGGGCTGTTTCCACATTTACTATGAAATTGAAATCAAATAATATGACTGAGCCGTGTCAAAATGTAATCTCTCACAGAATTGAATGTTGGAATTGAGCTGCTGCCCAAGGTCCTGGGAAGATAATTAAAAAAGGAAAAGGGGGAAATATGGAAAGAGGGAATGTCAGCAACAGAACCTACTAGCACAGAAAATGTGTAGGGACAATAAACAAATTGACAAATCCCCGGTTTTGCACACAGCATCCATCGGAGGGTATTACTATTAGCATTTGCTTTCCTTCATCATTACCTGCAGGGTGTCAGTTCAGAATAGCTGTAACACAGAGGCAAGTGCTTGTGCTGTGGCCTGGCCTGGAGTTATGTGCACAGGTCTAAATTCTTTCACCATCCTTGTTTTTTTTCTTTCTATTATTCAATTTTTTGTTAGTCCGTAATATATTTCTACTGGCATGTGAAAAAGATTAATATATTTGATAAAGGAAAGAAAATGACAGTGAAGGCTTCTATAACCTTGTATATCAGCTTGAAAGATGAGAACAAGTCTCATTTAATCTTGTTAATGACGACAAAAATAAAGAATCTTGCTGCATTTTCTCAGCCCACATTAACAGAAAATAACACTCAAAAGACTATTAACCTGAAATTACTTTCAAAGTTGCCACCGGAGGGGATAAGAGATTTCAGCGCACACACAGAGGTTGCACTCTCTCAACAACTTTGCAGGCGATGATGAAATAACCAGCTACTGAAATATTTACAAACACTCTCACATTCAAAAGAACCCTCTTCAGTATAAAGGTTTATCCTGTGTAATCAATATTTTCCACATTTCCTACTCTCAGGTTGGTTGATCAAAAGGGCTGCTTATCCTTGTGCCGCAGTTCTTTCAGCTTTTTCTTAATTTTTGGCCCCTCTGTGTTCAAGAGTGCAGAAATGTCACATTTCTTATTTAATGCACCGCGAATATATGCAACCTTCCTGCACTGTTCCAGCCCGGAAAATTTCTTTGTCCTTTTCTGGCCCCAACAGTGAATGCAACTTTATATTAAAGTGTCATTTCTTTTCATTAATCATCTATATCAGCCTGCTGCATGCATCTTTAAAACAAAACAAAAAAACAAATAAAAACAACATTGTTGAACACAAAAGACTCTTTAGTTTGTACAAATGAACTGATAGCAAAAAAACAATAACTATGCAGGTTAACGCACAAAGTTTCAGCTTTAATTCCCAGGGTGTTCGCATCCATACTGGGTCAATTTTGTAAGAATTGCGACACCTTGCCATGCATGAGTGGATAATAAATGAGCAACACTAAAATTCAAGTGCAAGCTTTAGGGAAACTATGTGGACATCACAGCGCTGATATGGGAGTTCACCTCAGGCTACTTACTGAAGTCACCGGTGAGGAAGAGGGCCTCTGCAGAAGGAGCCCACTCCATAAAAAACAGGCTGTTGTCAGGCTGCCTCTGCACACCGAAGGTGTTGTAGCTGCGTGTGAACTGGTCAAAGCCTCCTTCTGCCTCTTCCAGCTGGAGAAGCTGCTTCTGTAGCTGCTCATACCTTCAAACCACAGGGCACACACACACACACACACACACACAAAAGTGTATAAGTCCAATGGAAAAGCCCGCCAGTGAAAACACAATCTGTTGGACACATACAATGTCATCTATCGTCAGTGATGTTGAATAGATTTCACTCATTCGCTGTTTGACAACCCCCCGAAGAACATCAACTGCATTCAGGTCTGGCTGTTCCGTGTGAAATAACAGCAGATACTGAGACAACCATGCAAGAGTTGATACAGCTTTCGCTCCGCATGACTGCTGAATGTCAGAGTAAATAAAGTGAGTCAAAGGATTTGATTCAGGTAATAGCGACTCAAAAAAAGCAAAAACACTGTTTTTCATTCACTGATCAATTTGAGAGATTTTGGGCTATTTTGCTTCCATAACATGTCTTCTGCCAACAGATCCCACTGAAATGGTACACAATGTTTCTTTAAAAGCCCTTTTTTCAAAATGAGGTTTTTCTCATTCTCTGAGCCAGAAATCTCCACTTCAGTAGCACTTATCAGACGTACCCATTTCGTTCCCATCTATATTCTGAAGGTTCTTGCAGAGAGCTTTGTTCATCTTTCTTTCATAGCTTCCTTAAAACATGGCAAAATAGATTTTTTTTTCATAACTGTTGACAGTATTTTCTGACTTATGGAATGATAAAAAGAGAAATCCAAAGTTCCCTCAGTAAAAACCTTTGACTCTAATATTTCAACAATAAGAAACAAGAATTTTAAACCTGGCTTAATCCAATGTTTGGATTTTTAAATGGGAGAATAACTCATTTGCATATTTAAAAATACATTTTCATACAAAAAATGATTGACTTGAAGTAAGTAACCAACTGGGGAAGTTTCATGGTGATAACTATTATGTTGTTTTTTTAACCCTTTTCACCTGGGGTGTCTCCCCTCAACTGTTCTTTTTAAGATGAATTATTAATGTGAAATATTCATGTAGTGTAATAGTTTACATATTAAAACGTCATACACCCCTTCTTCACTGCCAAACAACGGCTTCTGCACTCCACAGGAAGTGGAAATTCCAAAAATAAATATGTTTTTTTTTTTCTTCTGGTATTACTCACAGCGTGAGTTGGTGTCGGCAAGACGTTGGCGCACACACACACGCACACACGCACACACGCACACGCGCACACACACACACACACACACACACACACACACACACACACACACAC